ATCACAATCTGCAGATTTACACCTCCTCCTGTGCTTTAATTGCAGAACATCACATCTTTGTGAAATGCAGCTTATGGAGTTTGTTACTGCTGTAGGATAATGGATCCAAAATCTGCATCTTGTGGGTCTTACCTCTAGGATAGATCTGTCCAGAAAAGAGAGCTGCAGTGCATCAAATGAGTTAGGGGGTAATTTTCCACAGCATTTTGACACACTCTTTTTTTGAAGCGAATTGCTCGGTAGCCACTGTTGCTATCTCTGCCAAGAGCAGAAGATAGTAGTAAGCGTAGGTCCTTAGAACAGCAGGTTTCCTGCTTGCTTTATTGACTGCTAAGTAAAAACACTATCGCTGTATGTACAGAATCAAAATCTGTGGAGTCCTTGGTGCTCTCTGAGCTTGGCTGTTTGCTTGCAGATGCTTCATTACCCAACTAGGTAACATCATCAGTGCTAGTGAGTGTGAGGTTTGCTTCTTGTTTATATACAGTAAACACTGCCAGCATTGGTGGGAGTGTGGTTTTCTTCTTGGTAGGCACTGACCTACCAAGTGCCTCCCAAGATCAAAAAGTGCCTGACCACTCAACCCACTACAGCACAACCAACACAAACTATGAAAAAGATAACACTACCATACATCAGAAACAACCAACAAACTATTACAACCACACAGCATCACCATAGCACACAAACTAAGTCCTCCAAAACATTTTAAGTAAACCAAAAGGCAGCACAACCAACACAAACTATGAAAAAGATAACACTACCATACATCAGAAACAACCAACAAACTATTACAACCACACAGCATCACCATAGCACACAAACTAAGTCCTCCAAAACATTTTAAGTAAACCAAAAGGCCCAGTAGCCCAAGAAGAAAAAACAGGAGTCATCTACGACATACAGTGTAAGGATTGTAAGAGCCATTATGTAGGACAGACAGGCAGAAGACTAGCAAAGCACATCCATGAACACTAACCTAGCGTCAGAAGACATGATGAAAAGTCCTCAATCTCACAGCACATGGACAGACTCAGTCGTAGTTTCAACTGGGAAACACTGAGCATCTTAGACCAAGCTAAATCCAAAAAACAGCTAGGGAATTCCTGGAAGCTTGGCATTCAGACACATCAGACATCAGTAGGCACATAGAGATAAACCACATTTACACACCATTCAAAAGAGGCAGTAAAGCAGCTAAGAAGGAAACAAAAAGACCAAAACACGTCCTGCCAGTAGCCAGTACCCAAATAAGCAAGGATTAACATCAGAGAAGCAGAAAACAATACCCTAATCAAGGAACTACCAAGAAGAAAACCATACCCCCACCAACACTGGCAAGGGGCGCTACTACATATAAACAAGGAGCAAACCCCACAGTCATTTGCACTGATGATGTTAGCTGGTCGGGTAATGAAATGTCTGCAAGCAAACAACCAGCACGAAGAACTCTACAGTTCAACCT